TCTGTTTCTGTGTTAGGAAAGTCAGCTACTTCTGTTGCTCTTAATGATAATAGCCTTATGAAGAAGAGGTCCTGTAGTGCCCTGCAGTGCAATTTGTCATTCCCAAGGACCTCGTGCTTCAGGGAGTATCTCCTATGTGTGCTGTGTATGCCCTGCTCTTGAATCCTGGCCTCTTTTTCCTTCAGTCCAGTTGTCTGCAGAGGCTCTCTTTGCCTGTTGTGGGCAGTGTTTGCTCCTCAGCTGGGTGAAGCATGTTTTAACAAGGTGTGCACCTGTCAGCTTACAAAGTGAGTCCTGCCACCACCACTGGAACTTCAGTCCCACAGAACGTGTGGATTGGAGATAAGGTGTTAGTGGGGTTTGCACCTGTGTTCTGGGGGAGGGGACTTGCAGCACCATGACGGAGGCCGGTGAGACTGGAAAGGGAGGATCTGCCCAAGCACGGGAGTGACAGGGTTTGGTATCAGCAAGTTAGGTAGCAAGTTTCAGCACTGTGCTGGTTCCTATGCAGGTGGCCATGTGTTTATGCTGAGGGGTGGAGGAGGGAAATAGTGCCTGCCAGCTCCTTTATTCCTAGAGGGGTCTCCCTGCGATCCCTGCCTCTCCAGGACATGCTCTGAGAGGAGTAAATAACTCTCCCTCCCATTTGCCCCCAGCATTTTTCAAACTGCTGCTTCCACGCTGTATCTCTGCTGGCTCTTTTTCCTGTAGCCTCTTAAAGGGCAGGGACTCCACTTCCTAATGCCCTCTGGGTTCTCCCAGAACCAAGATTGCTGATTTTTAAAATTCCAGGCTTTAAGTCCTGCTGGTTGTAAGAATTCACAAAATTCGGCCCCTCTCACTTCCAAAGCCAAACGTTATAAGGATTCATCTTCCTTGTTCAGGCTCCCCAGTGTATAGTCTGTTTTTTGCCTTTCTCTGTGCCACCAGCTTCCTCCCCACTGCAGATGGCCATGGTCCATTTTGCTCCGAAACTGCATCTCCATCCTTCCTGCTTTCTTCAGTGTGGCCTCTTCTCTACCTTTAGTTGTGGAGTTTGTTCTGCCAGTCTTCAGATCGTTTTCTGGGTTATTTACACTGCTGAGTGTTATCTAGTTGTATGTATGGGACGAGGCAAGCTGAGGATTCTCCTCTGTCATCTTCCCAGCCTCTTCCAGTCTGCATTTTCTGATCCTGTACCTGGCCTGCTAAAACTACTAGAAAAAAAAAAAAATCACACAAAGGAGCGGATGGTAGCACTGTAATTCTGCAGTCTCCAACTCAACTAGACTCACAGTGCCTCCTGCTGGTCCTTGTTCTTACTGTTACTCAGCATTTTCATTCTTTTCGACCACTATTCCAAACCTGTTTTCAACCCCACCCCTTACTTTCATCCTCTTTCTTGGCCTGCTACCAAGGTTAGATATCTTAATCTAGCTAGATAATCTTAATATTCTGATTGTTGTCAGTTTCCCAGCCCCCCACCACAATCTTACTTATATTTTCACTCATCCTTGTCTCCTTTTCTCTGGTCTCAGAAAAGGTATTTCTTCTCTTCGAGGCCAACTCCTCCTTCCAGTGCTTGATCTTATCCTCTTCCCCAGCCTTCCTAGAAACCTACTCTTTCCTGTTTCTTCAAACTCTTCCTCTCTGTTGGTTCTGGTTTTTAGTTTATTTACATAGTCATCTCCCTTTAGTTATCCTATCTTTCCTTTCTCAACTGAATTTCCTCTTCTTTATATGCCATGCATTCTGCAGTCCTTTCCAGTCTAGCTTATAATTCCTCTGAAAATGCTTTTGCTTAAGTTATTGAAAAATTCAGTAGGTATTTTTCAATCCACATCTTAGTAGATCTTTCTGTTTCATTTATTGTTTATCTTTCTGGAAACTCTTAACTCCCATGTCTTCTGTGATACCATCTCTTGGATCTTCTTCAACCTAAATTTTGCAATTTTCTGTCTCATTCTGGGCTTCCTATTCTCTTTGCCCCCTAACTGTTGGTATTCCTGGGAGTTCTGTCCATTGACCTTATTACTTAGATTATTTGTTCTTGTCTCTCAGCCTCCTCCTATTCTACACCTTCTCCCTTTTCCTGTCTCCTGAGTTCTTCACTCTCAGAAGATGACTTCACCTCCTATACCACAAAGAAAATATCAGCCTTGGGACAAAAACTCCTCATTCTCACCCTAGGCTTTTCTTCATCTGTCCATTTCTTATATGTTGAACTTCCTCAAGGTTATATTCTGGGGTCTCTTTTCTTTTTTTCTATATATATTCTCCTTGACCCATCTCATCTCTTTATATGCTAATGACTCCTGGATCTATATCACTGTTCTTTAAGATGGCCTCACTTGGATGTTTCACAGGCACTTGAAACTCAACATGTCTAAAATTAGACAGCTGCACCCTCCTACTATTATATCATCCATGCCTGCTTTTCTCCCTATGTGCCTGTGTCACTAAAGGCCACACCATTCTCTTAGTTACACATGCAAATACCTGGGAAATCATTCTCAATATCTCCCCCTCTTTCACCTCCTATATTCAATCAGCTAACAAATCCTGATTTCTTTACCTTCTAATTGATTCTGAAATCCATCTAGTCCTCTCCAGCACAAATGTCATGATCCTAATCTAGGTAATTAGCATCTCTCACTTACATTAGTGCAATAAATTTTTAAGTGGTATCCCTGTCTTCAGTCTAGGCCCACAACAGTCCATCAGTTTATTCTTTAATCATCAAACATTAATATGTTCTTTTTTAAGGTGCAGTTATGGACATATTAATCCTCTCATTACAACTTACAAGGGTTTCCATTGTCAACCTCCTTCACATGGCTTATAAGGCCTTTTATGATCTGGTGTCTGACCCTGTCTGCATTGTCATTTTTTTACAATGGCCCCTTCACGCTCCACGCTCCTGCTGTAAAGAACATTTTATAATTCCTAGATCTGCCTTGTTCCATGTTGCTCTTGAGCCTTTGTCTGTGCTGTTTCTTCTACCTGGAACAACTCCCTTACTTTTACCTTCACCTTTGCCAGATTAATTTCTATTCAGCCTTCTAGCAGAACTCAGTATCAGCGCCATTTTCTCCAGGGATCATGTCTATCTCTGTACTGCTAGCATTTGGCAGTGCTTAGCACATAGGTGGAATTTCCTAAATATTTTATAAAACATAAAGTAAAAAAAAAAAAGCTCAGATGTTGGGGTCGAAAGTGTTCCTAGCACCCCAAAGTGTTGTTCATTTGCCTCTCTTTCAGTGCATTGCTCTCTGCAGATCCCTGAAGCTCAGTAGAATGCAGTTTGGAAATCATTACCCAAAGATAAAATACAAAATCCTAAAAGTGACACATACACCCTCCATAAAGATCTAGCCTCTGTCTGCCTTTCCAGATTCTTTTTTTTAAACCACTGTGCAAACTATTTTATGCTACAGGAATATTGAAGTGTATGTAGTTCCTCCCCAACCCCCACACACGTTCTTTTTTCATTTCCATGTTTTATGATCATCGTGTACCTTGTACCTAAAATGGATTTCCCCATCCCTATTCCCTTCTTTCTCCTGGCTAACATTCATTCTTTCAAACTCAGCTTAGACATCATCTCTTTCAGAAAGCCTTTTCTGAAACCACTCTCTACCTGTCCCAGACTTGATACATGTCGCTCTTTGGGGCTTACAGTGTTTTGTGCATATCTCTAGTTACCTAGCAGCTTATTTTATAATTGACTTATGTGTGTGTCACTTCCATTACACTGTAAGCTCTTCAAGAGAGAGACTAACTTACCCATCTCTTTATCCCTAGTGCCTAGTATAGTACTTCATCCATTTAGGTGCTTAGTAAATGTTTGTTAATGAATGAATGGATGACCACATGTGTTTTCCTGGACTTTCCTTAGCTCACTATCATTCTTCCTTTGTATATTTTCCCTGGAGAATCTTTGTCATTTTCATGTTTCCAGTTATAAGTAATCGAGATTGTGTTATGTCCAGGGGGCCCTGTGATCACTATATCCTGCATATCCTGACCCAGACCACAGCAGGACAATACCATGAGGCTCCCAAGATAGAAAGATACACACACACACACACACACACAAAGAAAGACATATACAAAAGACAATGGCAAAGAAAAAGAAAGTAAAACTGTTAACTAGGCTTTTGTCCCAAACACTCAACATAGAAAATACTGGTAAACTTGAATGAATCAAATGGTACCTTCATTTTCGCATAAACCCAATTCAACACATCCACCAGCACTGGAGAAACAGGAATACGGCACATATTTGCCCTCAGTGCTTAGTGTCAAGCCAGCTGAGGCCCCACTCAGATTATTAGCCCCCAGCCAGGTATCTGTCCCCTAGAGGGAAAGTAAACAGAAGGGTCAGGGAGCTGACTTGGCCTCCTCCCTTGTGAGTATGATAAGCACTTCAGAGACATGAATATAACAGGAATAAAAGGGAGCTGTCCAGGCTTGTCATGCTCAGAGTCTAGAACCTACCCCCCCAATCCCAAAACAACCACACACAGTTTTAACTATGGCACCTCAATTCTTTATTCCCAGTTTACCTTGTCTTCTACCATGCTCTGGCTATAGAGTAATTCTTATTATTTGGGTGTTCTTTATTACCCTCAAACTCCTGTCTGGTCTTAAGGATATGAAAGAGCCTTGGAGAATCAACTTTTACCAAAGCTGTAACACACCTCATGTTGGATTTTTTTTCCCTATTCGAACATGGGATCTCAGATATAAAGAGTATTGCATTCTCTAGGAGCACATAGGTACTTAGCCAAAAAAGCAGAATCTAATACTCTAGTCATGAGATCCTTTTTCCTTTTCCATTTAGGTAATAGTGTTATGTACCTAGCATGAGAATTGTTTCATCAAAATTCCTCAATAACTGTTAATTTCCTCCCATTTTCTTTCTCTTCCCTTCAAAAGAAATTATGTGGCTTGAGAGATTTTTAGGTTCCTATTGAAATAAAAGTTTCTGTTGACCTCATCTTCTTTCCTTCCTATAGTTTCCATTCTAGCTGAGACAGAAGAAATCAAGGCCATTTTGAAGGACAGGGGAATCGATGTGGAGACCATTGCTGAGGTATACCCTATCAGAGTACAACCAGCCCGCATTCTCAGCCACATTTATTCCAGCCTAGGTAAGGAGATCGGCCTTAATAATCTGTCATTATAACAATCAAAGCATTATTCGATACAGGCTGGTTTCTATCCTTTTTATTTATTTATTTTTTTGATCTTGTACTGCTTTATTAAACTGGATCTGAGAGGGAATTTAGAGCCTCTGGAACCTAAGTTTCTAATCCAGTATATCCTGAGCAAGCTTGATAATTTTAGATGTGCTTATGAATCTGGTACATAGGGTGTGACTGTTAGCAAATAATATTGTATCTTCATTCCAAGTGCATTCTTAACTAACATGTTCTCCCCTTTCTTGAGACCTGTATTTCCATTTTGAATACATGTTAATTTTATGTAGAGTAATAGCCAAGAAACTTTTTTTAGGTCTTTTATACTGTCATATAATGAATTGGTTGACAATATTAGAAAATTCCACTTAATCTAATATTTATTTTAATTAGTACTTCAATTTCTATTTAATTTATTAAACTTAATGATAGACACATTAAGCAGATTACTACAAATTACAAACTTATACAATTTATTACAAATTTGACATTAAACAAATCACTACACTATTAACAAAAAAAAAAAAAAAAAAAAGCTCTGCAAATTTCCAAACTACCCTTGTGAAAGACTGATTAATGGTCCCCAAAGGTGTATAGGTCCTAATTCCTGGAACCTATGAATATTACTTTATATAGGCAGGTATGATTAATTTAAGGAGCTCAAGACAAGGAAGATTATCCTGGATTTTCCAGGTGGACCTTAAATGTAATCACAAGTATCCTTATAAAGGGAAGGCAGAGGGAATTCAGACTATAGAAGGTAGGACATGTGACAACAGAAACAAGAGATTAGAGTGATGCAGCTATGAGTCAAAGATTTCCAAGGAATGCCCACAGCCTCTAAAAGTGAGAATTGGCAAGGAACAGATTCTGTCCTGGAGATTCCAGAACAGCCTTTTTAACACCTTGATTTTGTTTTTAGTCCTGAAAGACTCATTTTGGGCTTCTGACCTCCAGAAATGTAAGAGAATAAATATGTGTTGTTTTAAGCGACTTAGTTTGTGGTACTTTGTTAACAGCAGGAATGGGAAAGTAATACAGATTTTGGTACTAAGAAGTGGGGTAATGCTGTAACAAATATCTAAAAAATGTGGAAGTGGCTTTGTAATCAGGTAATGGATAGAGGCTGGAAGAATTTTGAGTCACATGATAGAAAAAGTCTATATTGCTTTAAACAAACTGTTGGTAGAAATAGGGATGTTAAAGGCATGGCCAGTGAGGGCTCAGAAAGAAATTAGGAACGTGTTATTGCAAACTTAAGGAAAAGGATCCTTGTTGTATAGTGACAGAAGGATTGTTAGCTGAATTGTGTCCTGTATTATGTGGAAAACACAACTATAAATTATGAACTTGGAGGGCACCTGGGTGGCTCAGATGGTTAAGCGTCTGCCTTCGGCTCAGGTCATGATCTCAGGGTCCTGGGATCGAGTCCCACATCGGGCTCCCTGCTCCTCGGGAGCCTGCTTCTCCCTCTGCCCCCCTCTCTCTCTCTCTCTCTCTGTCTGTCATGAATAAATAAATAAAATCTTTAAAAAAAAATTATGAACTTGGATATTTAGCTGAGGAGATTTTCAAGCAAAGTGTTGAAATCATGGCCTGGTTTTTCTCTTGCTGCTTATAGTAAAATGCAAGAGGAAAAAGATAATTGAGGGAAGAATAGTTAAGCAAAAAGGAACCAGGACTTGATGAAAGTCTTAGATGGGAAAAGATGATAAAATTAGGAGATTGGCTGTCAGGAAAGCATGCTCTGGAAAAAAAAGGTCAAGGACATGGCTGGACAACCTTCTTCTAGAATTTCAGAAAGATCAAAAGATCGGTGTATTCATTCACATTCTTTGAAGAGATAAGGCTGTGACTCATGGATTCCCTCAACCACATTAGCAGAATCTAGGAATAGAGATATGATTATCCAGGAAAGATCTTAGGAAGGACACTCTTGTCTAATGGCATGAACTCCCATGACATATATGCAATACCCACAAAGTTTTTGAGAATGTTATATATGCAGAAACACTGCCAAATTGGACTGAAAGAGACAGAGGACAAGATTAAAGAAGAATATTGAACTCCCCAAGTTCTGTAGCCAGGAAGCAGGCTGATAAAACTACTAAGCTGTGAACAAGTGCTATTCTTCAAGAAAAAGGAAGGATGACTCCAAGGGAGGTGCCTTGGGCCCAGACGACAGAGCCTCAAACCACAGAGGATTACTACCATGCTTTGAAACCTAATGGAGTTTGCCCAGTTGGATTTTAAAACTGTTTGGGGCTGCTGACTCCTTCCTTCCATTTTCTCCCTTTTGGAATGAGAATGTCTATAATTTGTATTCTACCCCTGTATTTTTAGAGAATATAACTTGTTTTCTAGTTTCAAATGGAGAGGAATTTTGCCTCAGGATGTATCATACCCATATCCTCACCCATACCTGATTTAGCTGATGAGATTTGGGACTTTATAAATAATGATATTTAGAAGAGATTTTGGACTTCAGTTGATGCTGTAATGTGTTGAGAGTTTGCAGAATGTTGGGATGGGATGAATGCACTTTGTAAGTGGGAAGGATATGAATCTTTAGGGGCCAGGGGATGGACTATGGAAGGCTAAAAAATGGTCCCCAAAGATATCCAGGCCCTAATCCCTGGAACCTGTGAATGTTACCGTATATAGCAAAAGGGAATTTACAAGTGTGAATAAATTAAAGAGATTGAGATGGGAGGATTAGTCTGGATTATCCAGGTGGGCCCTAAATGTAATCACAAGTGTCCTATTTATAAGAGGGAGCCAAAGGGAGATCTGCCTATAGAAGTAGATGTGAGGACTGAAGCAAGAGATTGAAGTGATAAGGCTACTAGCCTTATCCTCTGAAGTTGCAATAGGCAAGGGACAGATTCTCCCCCGAGCCTCCAGAAGGAACCAGCCCTGCTGACATTTTGATTATACCTTATAATACCCATAAAGCCTATTTTGGACTTTTGACTTTCAGAGCTGTAAGAGTTTAAATGTGTGTTATTTTAAGCCACTAAGTTTGTAGTGATTTGTTATAGCACCACTTAGAAATTAATACAATCTTAAATCAAGCCACAAAAGGGCAAATTTATAAATAAAGATTATATCCTAGATAATGGATTGTCACAAACCCAAAGCCTACTTTGTGTGTGTGCGTGTGTATATGTGTGTGTGTGTACTTTTCTTTTTCACCAAGAATGGTCTGTTAATAATTACAGCCAAGCCAAATCTTGTCCAGCTCAAAACCAGTCTCCTTTCCTTTTTACTAACACCTACTTCAGACACTCAATTTCTACAGCAGTTATGTATGTAGATCTCAATTGAGATGGAATCAACCAAGGAGGAAAGGACCAACAGTAAGAGGTGACTTTTCTCTGTCTCTCCTAAACACTCATATTTTATGCCAGTAGGGCCTTAACTCCCAGAGCTATTAATATTACATCTGACTTTAGGAATATACAGATTTCCCCTTTCTTCCATCCTAGCTGTAATGTATAAAATTCCTTTTCTTTTTAATTCAAGTGCAAAGTTGAAATGTTCTAAAGAAACTTTACTTTAAAAAATGGGAAACTATGACTCATCAGTCTAACACAATTCACAGAGCTCACCATAGCACATACCCTCCCCAATGTCCATCACCCAGGCACCCCATCCCTCCCACCCCCCACCACTCCAGCAATCCTCAGTTTGTTACGGGAGATTAAGAATTCCTCATATCAGTGAGATCATATGATACTTGTCTTTCTGTGATTGACTTATTTCTCCTAGCATAATACCCTCTAGTTCTATCCACGTTGTTGCAAATGGCAAGATTTCATGTTTTTTGATGGCTGCATAATATTCCATTGTATATATATACCACCTCTTCTTTATCCATTCATCTGTTGATGGACATCTTGGCTCTTTCCATAGTTTGGCTATTGTGGACATTGCTGCTATAAACATTGGGGTGCTCATACCCGTTCGGATCACTGACCTCTACCTCTGAAACAAATAATACATTATATGTTAAAAAAAAAAAAAAGATAGTAGGAAGGGAAAAATGAAGAGGGGAAATCTGAGAGGGAGGTGAACCATGAGAGACTGTGGACTCTGAGAAACAAACTGAGGGTTTTAGGGGGGGGTGGGGGGGATGGGTTAGCCCAGTAATGGGTATTAAGGAGGGCACCTATTGAATGGAGCACTGGGTATTATACGCAAACAATGAATCATGGAACACTACATCAAAAATTAATGATGTAATAATGTATGTTGGCTAACATAACCTAATAAAATAAAATTTAAAAAATGGGAAACTAAAATATAAACACATAGAAATCAACAAGTTTATTGAATATAGATCTCAACTCTTAATTAATTTCTGAAATCTAGCCACAGCTTAGCTTGACTATTACAAAATACTGAGCCCCTGGTTCCCCTCACTTATTCAACCCTATCTGAGATAAATTCCAAGTCAAGACTCTGAAACTTCAGAGATTAATTTGGGTTGATTCTTTACAAGATGGGATGGGTATTTTAGCCCTTCCCAGAATCTGCTTCATGTTTTTTATCATCTCGGCCATTCTCTCTAGTCTCAGACTAAAATGTGCTCCTAATTTCCAGATACCAGTCCACTAAATCTGTTGACATAAGGAAGGTATTTCTCTATCTAGCCCAAATCTTCTTCCAGGAACAAGTATTAGTTGATTTTCTAGTCACCTTCTTTGCCCCTCTTAGAAGTCTTTATGGTTTGAAGTTCATGTAAGTCCTACTGGTGCCTTTGACCTGATTATCTCTGGCTCTTACTCAGAAGATGATAGGTTAAATTTACCCTTTGCTTCTTCACATTTATTGTTCTAAATTCAGCATAATCTTACTAGGATATAGGTAATTTCCAAGTGCTGGGCCATTATTCTTGGAATCGACCTGCATCACGTCACATTTTTCCACTAAATTGAAGCAAACTCCTT